AGTTTCACAAGCTTTAGATTAAACATCCTAAATTCCGCAATATTTCACATAATCATATCATTAAACAAATTGGTTTTATTTCATAACAAAAGAATTTAGCAACTGAAGAATCTCAAAGATTAAGAATTTCAGATTATAATCTTTCAAAGAACAATGTAAAAGAAGAAAAGAAGAAACTTTGAGTTTAGTACTTGATCAAAACTTCTTCAAAACTCCTTTCTACCACAAAACTTTTAACCTAAAACTCTCCTCGAAAATAACAATAAGAACAGATTAGAGACAGACAAGGGATTGATAACCCTAACAAGTTTAAGCAGAAGAGAACATTTTAGATAGTTTCATAAACTAACCTGGAAGACAAAAAATGCCAGATGTTTTCACTGTTTCTCCAAGAGAATAAACAATACTATTGTACAAAAAATCGTTGAAATGTCAATTAAATTCGGTACCCACGATCTCTGCGTTTAATATAAACACATACTATAATAACCAAAGGAAACAACAACTTTATTGCCCTTAAATTTTGCAATTAATTACAAACTAAACCTCAGAAAACATTCCTATCTCCCAAAAAAATCAAGAACAAATGTTTACTACAATTGTAAACAGAGCAATCACCATTTTACCTCTTCAGTTTCTAGGAAAATTGTGAATGCTTCAGAAGTCAATGGATCAAGAGAAATCGAAGTATATACCCTTATCTTTGTGCTTCAAAAAAAAAAAAATACCCTTATCTTTATTTTTCTGAAACTGAAATATCGGAACTTACTTCAAAGGGAAAGGAAAAAAAGTGGATTTGAAGAAAGAAAATCACACAGATAAAGAAACTCTTGGAGAGTCGGATCTAAGAATCAACATTTCTAGTATTTTATTCTATCTTCGTGTGGATTTGACTCTTTTTTTGTTGTTACATATGATAAGATTTGAAGAGAACAATAAAGTCAAAACTTTTGTAATGAAAATGGATGTGTTCTTACAAGTACACACATACAACCAGACCAGGGG